TTCATTTCCTTTCTCAATAAGTATTTATTGGGCTCCCTTGGCTGAGACTGGTGGGCTCCGGAGTTGGTCTCAGCATTCAGAGCATCAACTTGGCGTGGGTGTTGGTGGGGTGCAGGAGCAGGAGATGGCTGCTTATGGATGTGGGCTAGGCCTGAGCCCAGGGTTTAGGATGAGCTCAGTTGCTCCCTTGGGTACTGATGCTTCCTCTGACAGTGGCAGGAGTTTGGGGGAAAAAGATAGACTGCAAGCCTCCCAGGGGCTGGATCTTCAGTCACTGAGGACTGGCCAGGGAGGGAGGAGGCCAAGGATGCAGGGCAAAATGGACCTCAGAGAATGATGTTCAAGAATAGGTGTCTGAGAACAGGACAGACTGGGTCCTTCCACCTAAACGTGAGGGTGTGGGGAATGGCGGTAAAACAGGTTCCCCTTGATAGGCTTCCAGGGACCCCGCCATGTTTTAGTTAATGCCAGACGGTGGAGAGAGTGCCTGCAGGGATGGGCAGTGGGAGTTGGAGCAGCAGAGGGCACCCATGCTGTGTGGAGGAGACATTCGCCTGCTGACTCTGGGAGTGCAGGAAGCAGCTGGGGGGATGGCATTGACTCCCTGACTGAACCTCAGAGATGAAAACTGAATTCAGGGTCCCAGCAAAGAATCACGACTCCAACTTGAGACCCAGCGTGTTGGAGAGGGCAGAGAAACAAATCAAGAAGCCACTTTTGCTCTCGGGGGCTAGCCACTGCCTTAAAGACTACAGGGTGAACTCCACATCTTGAGGTGACAGGGCCTCCAGGGATCCGTTGCTCAGGCTCCAAAGGCCTGCTTGGTGCTACCCAACCCCCCTTCCCCTTCCCATCTCTCTGTCCTGTAGGTTCCCTCAGCTGGCTCCACAGCCACCGGGAGGGAGGTGCTGGAAAATGTCAGGAACTCATCAAGCTTGTATCAAGGTGGACTGCATGCCAGGCCCATGCAGGGAGGGCATCTGCTCACCCAGAGGCGGGCATTCCCCTGAGGGCTGCTTCTCACCTGTGCCCCACTAACCCACTAGAGTCTAGGCAGAGGAATTCCTAGGCAGAAGAATGTCCTGGGTTTCCTAGGAAGGAAGGCCGAAGGCACATGAGGGGACAGGGTGTGAATCAGAAATGTGGCAGGAGCTGGGGGAGGGGAGGAAGACACCAACAGATGGCCAGACCAGTACTTGGCTGGAAAGTTCCCTGGTCGTTTTTTGCTTCTGTGACTCCCTATGTGTGTCATGGGAGCAAAAGGATGGACACTATCTGCTAAAAGTCTGTCATCCTGGAGTCCCCCCCACCCCCCGCCAAGAATGTGACCTCCCACACCTTCCCCCTGTGGGCCTTCTCCAATGGTACTAGAAGGTGTGACCGAAAGTGCCGGAAACTCAACAGGGGAACACATGGACTTGGGGACAGCAGCAGATCTGAAGCTGAATTTATTGCCTCTTTCCAAACTTAGAGGACAGACACGTTGTAAACCTCCTAATCCTCACTCCCAGGGGCCCAGGAAGAGCCCCCTTCATCTCCAGACAGAAAACAAGAGAAGAGGCCTGGAGACTGGTGGACTTTGCCCAGATGTTGCTTTGGCGGGGGCATAATAGGGCTAGGCCTCCTGGGGCTGTCTGGGGCAAACAGCTGTGATAGCCCAAGACCTCTGGGGGCAGGAGCTGGAGCCGGGAAGAAGACGGAGCCAGAAAGGCAGACACAGGGAATCTGAGGCAGGGTACGGGGCTCCAGCCTGAGGTATTTCTTTACTGCACCATGCATGGGCTTAGGTCCAGGGAGGCCAAGGATTTGATCCATGTGGGTCAGGAAGGAGCCTGGAGAGGGGGAGAGATGGCCGGACTGGGAGTCGCCTTCCCAAGCCTCAGTTGGCTTATCTGTAACAAGAGAGTGTCGGGCCAGGAGACTCAGCCGGGCTCTTCCTTCATCTGTTATCTGTGGTCTACATTGGCAACTTCTTGGGCCCCAGTAGAATATATGATAACCTGCCATGGAGAAAGAAGTCTCCAGATAAGGTGACAGATAGAGGAGGCCTATATCCTGAGCCAATCTCCCATATCTAATTAGGGGGCCAGTCTTGCCAACTATCCTTTTGAAATAGCTTCTGCTTGGTCCCCAAGCCACAGGCCATTAGATCTTTCTGGGCCTCTCTGTTCCCCTTCATGTCCTTTCCTCAGTCCATACCCTGCTAAACCACAGATCTATCCTGTCTCTGAACTGCTTTAAAACCTTTGCAGGTGTAGTGGCACATGAGCCAGGAATCTCAGTGATTCAGGAAGCTGAGGCAGAATGATCACAAATTTGAGGCCAGCCTGAAGCAGTTTCTTGAGACCCTCAGTAATTTAGTAAGACCCTGTCTCAAAATAAAAAATAATAAAAAGGGCTGGGGATGTAGCTCAATGGTAAATCACTCCTGGGGCCAATCCCACTACCAAAAACAAAAGACAAAGAAAAAACTTTGCAGTCTCCTTAAGCGGTGGAAGTTAGCTCTCAGTTTGGCCTTCGGGCCTTCATAATCTAAACTCAGCCCGATTCCCACTGTTTCTCAAACACGAGCTTTGCACGTTGCACTTTCCTCACAGTATTTGCTCTGCCTGGAATCCTCGTTGTCCACTTCTTCACCTTCTTTCTGATGATCCTTCAAGGCTGCTCAGTTGCCTCTGTGTGAAGCTTTCCTGGATTTACCACCCTCTGCTCCCCATTGGAGTTAGCCTCTTTTTCTTCTGTGTGCTCAAAGACCTTTGCTTGTAACTCTGCAAGTCCTATGAGGTCATATCCTGGAGTTATACTTTATGGTATAGACGTGAGATTGTGAGTCCTTGAAGTCCTGGTTATACATTTGTACTTCAGTGCCTAGCACAAACCTTGGGGCCACCACTCAGTGGGTATTTAGTGAACCTTTATTGCAGATGGTTGAATTAATAATCTGTATGCAAGTGATAGAGAAAGAAAGAAAACATTATCTTTCCTATATTACTGAAGGAAAATAAGGTAGCTATCATTGATGGGCGTGTAAGGAAAGTCTCTAAAAAGGCACCAGGGTGGGGGCCTGGGATGTAGCTCAGAAAGAGGCCCTGGGTTCTATACCCAGCACTTCAACACACACAGGGTATGTATTGACAAAGAATGACAGGCTGGGAAAGATGGGAAAAGATTCTAAATCCTACCTTGTGCATCCCCTCCACTCAGAATCGGATTGTTGGTGTTGATGCTCTCACTAAATTAAGAATGGGTATAGCTGGGTGCAGTGGCACATACCTGTAATCCCAGGGGCTCAGAGGCTAAGGCAGGAGAACCACAAGTTCAAGGCCAAGCCTCAGCAGTTTAGTGAGGCCCTAAGCAACTTAGCAAGATCCTGTCTCAAAATAAAAAATAGAAAATGCTGGGGATGTGGCTTAGTAGTTAAGCATCACTGGGTTTAATCCCTAGTACCAAAGAAGAAAAAGAAGGAGAAGGAAAAGGAGAATTTGAACTGATTTCTAATTCATTTACTACTTTGTGTTGCTCAGTGCGTGTGCCTTGGAGTAACACTGGCCAGGTTCAAATCCTAGCTGTGCTATCTTAAGCAAGTTATCAAAACTCTTTGTGTATCTACTGAGTGAGGCTAATAGTTGTTTTTACCTTGAAGACTTGTGGGAGTATTAAATGAGTTTATAGTACTTAGAATGATGTCCAGCACATGGTGGTATCCAGTAGGTGTTAACTATTAGTACTTGTGATCTATACTCTGTTTCCTTCCAAGAAGAATTTGAGGCAGCATAAGATATTAAATCATAGAGAAAAGATGATAATTGTGTGTGTTTATATTATATTAAATATTAGAAATTACTTAGTAATAGGAAGGAGAGAAAGATAGGTATTTGTTCGTTTGTTTGAATTAAACCCCTAAATTTGCCTCTGAGCTTCCAGGAAGCCAAGGCAAAAAGGGACTATACAGTCTTGAGGGGTGGTTTACTGGGAATTGAACCCAAGGGTGCTTTACTACTCCTGCTTCAGCCTCCCGAGTGGCTGGGATTACAGGCATGCACCACCGAGCACAGGAGTACAATTTTTACTGTGAAATACTAAAACATCCTGCCCTCCACATCTACACATTTTTCAACATGGGATTGTGGTGTGAATCCCTAAGTTGGAATTTTGGAGCCAAGGATTCTTTTTTTATTTTTATTTTGTTATTGTTGGAGCCAAGGAATCTGAAGTTATTCTCAATTGGCATTTAGTGTCACCCTCAGTGGGCTTAACCCTTTAATGAGAGCACATAATGACAACAGGAATAAGCAGAATCAGGATAATGACTGGGATAATAAGGAGCAGCTCTAAGCTTCTTTCTATCTTCAGCTCAGGGTTTCCTTCCCTCGCTCTGGGCTGGGGACCTCCCTTAGGTTAGGGGTTGAGCCCTGCTGAGTCGGAAATTGCCAGGTGTCCCAGGTGGTTTCCCTGAGGCCCTGGCTGTGTAGGGAAGCAAGGTAGCTACTGGGGCAACTGCTCATGGGATTTTGCAAAGACTGGGCTTCCAGATTCAGAGCAGAATGGTGATCTTTGTGGGGAGGATCAGCTCCTAAAAAGATCACAACTCCCTGCCCCCAGCTTCTGCATTTAAAGAGGAAACTATAAAAAGTCTAGGAAGACCCCTGGCCCTACCCCTCCAGCCTGACGCTAGGCTTAGGAGGAGCTGCTCCATCTTTGCTTAAGACCTTAATCCATGCAGGTGTTTTGGGCCCATCTCATGGAATTCTTTGGGAGGCTGGAAGGTTTGGGTGATGGTTAGAAATAGCTAAACTACTACGCAGAAGAAAACAGGAGGGTCGTGTATTTTTGCTCCTAAGAGGAAAAGCCAAAAGAGGAGAAGGAAATGAGACCTCTAAGAGCTCGACTAGCACATGGACCTGGTACCGAGCGAGCGGTGTGGGATGGGGACTGGAATCCACATTACTGGGGGAACCCTGGGAAGTTTTAAGAACAGAAATGCCCAAAGCTGCATTTCTAAGTTGTTTGTTCTCTTGCTGCATTAATCCCTGCTATAGACCCAACTCTTCAATAAAGTGGGTTTGGTCCCAGGCACATCAAGCCCTTGGAAGGTGTTCTTATGTAGAAAAAAATGAAAAGGGCTTCAAATGGATGGCCCACAATAGCAAAAGCACTCCTGGATCAGCAAGCTGATTCCTAAACTGAACTGATTTGGGCAAAACAGAAGCTCAAAGCCAGAAGCACTGAGGAGGAGCCATGTCTTTTGTTTCTCCATCCCCACTCCCAGGGGACTCTGGAATAGTTTGAAGAGCATCCAACCTCCCTTCCATCCTAGAATGAAGGTAGAGCCCAGCCCTAAGGCAGCAGCTGATCTCAGCTGATAGTTGACCCCTGGGAGCCTGAAATGAGGTGTCACCCTCAAGTGCCTTTCCTTTAGTGATAACAACCACCTCCAAAGGGAGGGTACTGCCTGCTCAAGGTGCGGTGCCATCGACTTCTTGGCAACCAGCAGATCTTCCCTGGCAGGATCTGTGGGGCTTGCTGAAGCCAGAGTGGGAAGGAAAAATGGGAGCAGGAGCAAGTGCTGCCGAGATGAGATCTACCTTGTTTGGCTGACCTTGGTGACTCACTGCCATTTATATATCAATCACCTAACCTTGAGATCTAAACACCTTTTGTCCTCTTTGTCTTGAGAGATTAAAGGAAGGGAGTTTGTCCCTATCCTCAGAGGTGGAGGGTGGGGTCTCTTCAGTCTAATTTTGGGAGAAATGGTTTCTGCCCTCTGGACATCTCAAATTCCAGAGGAGGGAGTTGCAATTATAGAGAGTAAACAGACAAAAAGTCACCAGCAGACAAATGTGAATAGAGGAGCAAAGCCCAGCATCGCTCACAATTAGTGAAGGAGGAGGGTTGAAATAAGGGCACCAGCCATTAGCTGGTGTTTATGAGGAAATAGCTTGTAGGAGCTGGGAGGTATGAGCCTGGCTGATTTGGAAGGAGGGAAGCCTTATTAGCTGCAGAAGGCAGAGATGTCCTGCGGTGGCTGGTGCTATAGGAATGGATCATAAGATAAATGTTCACCCTTAGGCTTTTGGTCATTCTAGTCCCCCTCACTGGTTGGACTGGAAGGTATTGTAAAAGGTGTCAACTGTCAACATCTGCTCATCAACACAGGCCCAAAACAAACAGCCCTGAGAGCAAGAAGGTCAACACCAGATGCTTTTGTTTACAAAACTTGAGCTTTTCAACAGGGTCAAAGGGCATTCCCAGAGTAACTGGGTGCGGCCCCAAGGAGGCAGGTTTGGAGAGGTGAAATCTGTCAGCATCCGAGCCTCTTCATCAGAAGGGCCACCTGGACAGGTTGTTCTCAGTACGCAGTGACCAGTGACAGTGTGAACATCACTTCAGATCAGGAAGCTGTTCTTACTCATCTGATCTACACTAGGGCAGAGGAAGCCACCCACTATATTTTATGGAGAAGGAAACTGTGGCCTGAAAGGCTGGTTTAAGGTCACACGTCAGGGCCAAGGCTGCTCTTTCCACTACCGGACACTGGCCCTGCCTCACGACCCTCTGGCTTTTGGACTTGAGGGACGCTGAGCCTTCCTGGACTGTGTGCCCCGGCGAAAGGCCAACTGGTCGTCTGCATTTCAATCTAGCTCTGCACATTTCATGAGAAACCCAACGAGGAGGCGGGAGATAACGTCTGGGAAGGCGGCCCACCTGGACTTCCTGGCTTTCAGCGAGGCCAGCGTCCCTTCTCCGAACGCGGCTCACCTCTGCCCCACCAGAGCACTGCTTGGCAGGGGAGAGCCAGCTCGAGACAGCGGGCACCGTCCCCTGCCAGCGCGCCCCCGCCCGCGCCCTCCGGAGTCAGTGCCCATATAAGGCCCGCGCTTCCCGGCGGCCGGGCCGTGACGCGCCGCGGTCCACGTCAGCGGCCAGCGGGAGGCGGCGCCCGCTCCAAAACAAGTGACGCTGCGCAGTGGGAGGCGGAGGCAGCTGCGGCGCCCGCCCGGCCGCGGTTAACCCCTGCGGGGCCGCGAGCTCCCTGCCTGGCCGCTGCTGACTGCCAGGAGGGCTTCGAGCTTCTGCGCAAATGCGGGTGCTGAGCCCGCGCCGGGTGGCCTCGTGCCCTAGCATCCTGTCCCTGGCGAGCACAGGGAGTTGAGTCTCCGAGACCACCTTTGGGCATCCGAGTGCGTTCAGTCTGCACATTTTGCCTGAGATGAGAAGGATGCGAAATTCATGGACAGCCCTAGTAGGTAGTGTGGAGTGCATTTTGGCTCTAGAGCCAAGGGAGTTTGCCCTCTGGGTTGTTGAAAGACAATCTCATGTCCCATTGGTACTTGATCTTTTCCTTCTTGAAACAGACAAAAAAGACCCGTAGGCATCAGTGCGTCTGGAGAGCCCCCAGGAAGTCTATGGGGAGGTGCTGCGGTAAAGGGACCCCCTTCCCACTAGGGCATACGCCTTCCCACCCAGTCCCCAGCCAAGTCAGATAAAAAGGTCTAGCCCCGGAATGATGGAGGAGGAGCCAGGAAAAGGAGTGTTGGGGAGTCCCCCTTCTAGGTAAAGGCCAGGAAACAGAAAAGGAAGAGATACTGTTTTGAGAAAAGCGCAAGACTCAGTTTCAACCGCATTTCATCAGAAGCCTCGTTGGAGATAGGGGTGGCCTAGTTGCTGAGTCCTGCTGTGCTCAGGTGAGACCTATTGGAGCTCCGCCCTCGCCTGCCTTGTCTCACCTGACGTGTGAGTGCGTGCCTCTGTGCATGAGCGGAGAGGCAAAGGGAGCTAACTGTAATACAAGGACTCCAAGATGAAGGGAGCGAGGTGAGTGAGAGTGTGAGGTATAGGATGCAGATGGGAAGAGTCAGATACTGGCCCTCGGGCTCATAGCCCCAGGACATGTTGGGGAACTTGGCTGACTCTGTCTGGGGGAGGGGCTCGGACTTAGGGGAAAGTCCCGGGGCCTCCCAAACCATCCCTTTACACTCAGGATGCTCACCCACCCACACTTCCTCTTCTAAGACCCACTTCCTCTCTTTTCTCTAAGATCAATCTCTGGTAGAGAATTCGTTGGATGGAAACCTCACCCCATCTCCAAGCTCTGGGTACAGTGACAGAGTAGGCATAGGAGTGTGGGGAGAGAAAGTGGCCCTCCTTGGCAGGGAACTGGTGGCAAGTTTGCTTCTGCTATGGACAGTGTCCCTGATCTTGGTCTCAGGGTGGCTAATCAAAATGGGGCTAAGTCTGGGAACTTAAAAGACTGACAGGAGAGGGGACTTCCTCTGTTTGGTGGGGGTGGGGGGCTTCTTTCTTCAGTGTCCAGGGACTGGATAATGGCAAAATTATTGGAGAACAAAAAATGAAGGGATAATGTTAGTGCCTGCATAGTGGTCATGACTGTGGGCTTTGGAGTCAGTTGGGACTTCAGTTCTGCCATTGGCAATGAGGTCCTGGGCAGATTTTTAACCTCTTTTAATCTCTATGTTCTTGTTTGAAATAAAACTATTAGTTATATTCATTCTTTTTGAGAATTAAAAGAGGTCATGTTTATTAAAAGTTTTGCATATATTAATTTTTTCCATAATATTTAGTACCTGGCACAGAGTGGGTACTTAATAAATAGTGACTGCTGTTACAGTTAGTAGCAGTAGCAGGAATCATGGAAGTCCTCTCCAGGACACCACATGGGGAGTTAGCCAGAATTATCAGGTGTGCCAGTCTTGCCTTTGGTGGCTTTGTGCCTCTCAGATGTCTTTGGGGTCCCTCATCACCTCTGCCACCTCCTCTTCCATCCTGACCCCAGCCTGGCCTGAAAGGAAGAGCAGCAACCATGGAAATACAAGGTGTTTATCTCCCGGCTCTGCCCTTCCCTGTGCCACTGAGCCCTTCTGAGCCTCAATTTCCTTCTCACTGAAACAGGGGGGACACTTTCTGGCTGGAGTCCCTTACCGTGAGAGTCAAGAGAATAAACGCTGGTGGAAATATTTTGAAAATAGCCCCCACCCCTCAGTCCTCCACTTGGTGAATTCTCTCTTCTCATTCTCAGCTACTCCCTGCACCTCAAGTCTCCCTCTGGGTTCTTGCACAGCTTTGATTGCTTGTGTTGGAGAGGTTAGTCTGACGGAACCTCCTCAGGGCAGGAAGTAAGTCACTCATTTCTGGACTCCAGTGTCAAGTCCAGGGCAAGGCACACAGTAGGAGCTCAAACAAAGCAAGTTTCCTTTCATCTATCAGCACATCCCAGTGAGGGGGCAGAAGGAGGAGGCCTTGGCAGAATTTGGGGAAGCTGCATCTGTCCTCTGGGCTGACCCAAGTCTTGGGAATGAGAGGATCCATTGGAAGACAGGAGGGGAGCCTTCCCAGAGCAGCCAGGCTCAGGGCTTCCGATCATTCACACCACACAGAGCCCAAGACGGTGTCAGTCTCTTTAGGGCCACAGTAGAAACCTCCAGCCCACAGCCTCTGTGGGGAGCCCCACCACCTGGGAGGAAAGAAGCATTCTGCCTAGAAGAGAAGTCACTGGGTAACCAGTTCCACTTCCTCCTGGCAGGAGCGCTCACCCAAACTCCCTCTGCCACCCAGAGCAACCCATTTCTCCCTCTGCTGCCTCATGACCAAGAATAGCTGCCCTCTCCATAATTGGTTTAAAAATAAGACACTTGCCTTACCTCACCCTTACTCTTGTGATTAAAGACCTTGGCAAGCAGGTGACCCTCGGGCCTGTACCTGCTCCCCTGGCAGAAAGAGGAAGACCCATGGCAGCCTGTGGGGCCCACATGTCCTTGTGGGGTGAACTCTGCCTACTGAAGCCACATCCATGCTCCCTGGGAGGACCTGCAAGTTAGACTTGAGTGCCCTCCGCTGCTGCTGGCTGACTTCTAGACACCCACTCTCACCAGTATGGCCCTGGCACACACACTGTTTACTACCATAACTTGTCTCTGAGAGGCTTTGCACAAGATTAGGAGGAAGCAGCTTCCTGAGAAAACCAGGTTGTGCCTGGCGTGGTGGCTCATGCCTGTAATCCCAGCAATTAGGGAGGCTGGGTTGGGAGGTTAACAAGTTTGAGGCCACCCTTGATAATTTAGTGAGGCCCTAAGCAACTCAGTGAGACCCTGTCTCAAAATAAAAAATTAGACTGGCGATGTAGCTCAGTAGTAAAATACCCCTGGGTTCAATACCGGTTCCAAATAAAAAAATAAACAAAGCCAGGTTGTATGCTCCCTGAGGGCTGATCCTCCCAGGAGAGATTTCTCATGACTGTTCCAGGCAAAAAAAAAAAAAAAAAGAAAAGAAAAAGAAAAAAGAAAGACTAAGAAGCAGAAGCCCTAAATTCCAGGCCACTCAGAAAAACCTGAAAGAGAATCTCAGGAATTTTTTCCATAAGAAAAATGACCAGGGTGGCTGTTAAGACCCAGTGAAACTGTGGTTACAAAGCCCATTGTAAGGGATGCCATCACCGGATCCGTTATTTCTGCCTGTCACTCCCCAGGCCTCGGGTCTCCACCAGCTGCCATCTCTGCAAGTGGTCCTGCCTCCTGAAACCCCCTGCCGGGGCGGCAGAGTGCACCCACCCCAACTCCTCAGGCCTCACTCATTCACAGTTTACCTGTTGCTGAGGGCGGGGGGACATAGCCTCAAGTGTCTTCCACTTGAGTGATCTGCTGCTTCTCTATCCACCACGCCTCCTTCCTTGTCCTGAGGTCCTGAGAGAGGACAAGTTCACTCCCCCAGGGCTGGTCCTGGGCCTCTGTTCCCTAGCAGCACAAGCGAATCACAGTGTGTGGGGAGCGTGTTTTTAGGAGGGGCACGCAGCCAAAAGGCTTTGTGGGACAAAACCTTGTTTCTGTTCAATGGGACTACGTAAACAAATCGCTCTCTGGCTATGGAGGGCTTACGTGTGTTCTTTCCTCTTGTGAATCACGCTAGCTTGGGATTCATTGGGATCCTATAATCAACACTGAACAGCTGCTGGCTGCAGGAGGGGCCCTGAGAGCCAGGCAGAGCCAAGTCCTGTGGAACCAGTTAGAGAATGATTGGGGGTTTGGGAAGGGGGGACAGTCATAGAAGTTCCAGATCTCAGTTCTCACCAGGTTGTCCTTCTGGGTCATCTCTCCTCAGAGGTGTGAAGGAAGGCAAGCCACCCAGCAGTTTCCTGTCTGAAAGCCATTGGCACAGCCCACCATTAGTGGGCTGCCCATGTTGTTGGGACCAGTGAACCTCTGAGGTGGGAAGCGCTGGCCAGCACCTGCCCTGTTGCCAGGGAGCAGAACGTTGTGGAACATACAACTTGATTCCTGGCTTATCAATTAGGAACTGGGATGGAGAAGGGGTTTTGAACATCCCTCCAAAGGTCCAGAGACTTTTCCTTGGGCTTGGTCATTGTAACAAAAGTTTCTCCTCCCCCAGAAAGCTCTGAGACCAAACAGTATGACAGGTGGTCTGTGGAACAGACAGCTGTGGCACACTGCTTGGGCTCAAATCCTAGCTTGGACAAATACTTCATATTTCCTGGACTTCTTTCTTCATCCACAAAGTGGAAATGACAGTGGAATCTATCACATGGGATAGCTGTTGAATAATGAGATAATGCATTGATAATGTTGAATAATGAGATAAAGACCCAGGGCTGCAATAAATACTGTTATTCTAAGAAAGGATCTTGCTTGAGAGTCCCTGTAGTCTTCCCCACCATTGTGAAATATAAGTCTCTTCCGGATTCTGACACTTTGAATTAGGCCAGTGTAATATGTAGGCATACACACATACACATGCATACATATTATGTAGCATATATACGAGGATATAATATATGGGTCTGTCTAGCTGCCTATCTATCCATCCTCTGGCCTCTGAACTCTGGTGCATCAAGAGGAAGTCTCACTTTCTTCATTTGGACCATGGAGAGCACACAGGCACTTTCCCAACAGCAGTAGGGTGATATGAGTCATTCTGGCCCATTGGGAGTGGGGAGGGTTGGAGAACCTTTTCAGTGTAAGAAAACCTGGTTGGCCAATGTGCCCCGGACTATTCATTCAGTCCCTCCCTGTGTCATAATGATATGGATTATCTCCCAGAACTTTCATGTTTATTGTGTTATTTAATTTTCACAGTGATCCCACAGAATAAGCTAAGTTGTTTATTATTAGTCTGGGGATTGAACACAAGGCCCTCTACCACTGAGCTACATCCCCAGCCCTTTTTCTTTTTGATTTTGAAGCAGGGTCTCACTAAGCGGCCCAGACTGGTTTTGAACGTTAGGCTAATAAGATGTTATCCAAGAGGCCAACTGGGACCTGGAGCTCCACCTCCTGACTCCCTGCTCCAACAAGCCATCCAGATCCCATCCATCTTTGCCCCAGGTGACACTACTAGGAAGCCCAAGGTGATTGCAGCAGGAAGGAGCCTGTGGTCTGTAATAACAGCACAATTTAGTAACAAGTTGAGTCAGGGGTAATTGGGGGCAAACACCGGGCAGAGAAAAGACTGACCCTGTCAGACTTGGCTCATCCTCTTCCCTCTTCAAACACTCCCGCTCAATTGTTGACCTCCAAGCATCAAGGAAGTACGTGACACCACTGCCAGAAACAAAATGTGCGGGGTCAAGTGCACGTCCAGTGTGCAAACAAGAAATTCCAGGTGCCCTGAAAGGGAGCGGTGTTGCTGGCCTGGCAGTCACAAGAGCTTCCTGGGCCTGCATTCTGTGCTGACTGTGGAGCTGGGAGTGAATCACTCACCCTTCACAGCACCTGCCCAGGGACAGGGGCAGAGCCTCTCAGCCTCAGCCCCAGCTCTCCTGCATGGTGCCAGGAGTCAGGAGTGATGTCTTCCTTCCTTCCTTCCTTTTTTTCTTTCTTGTGATGCTGGGAGTGAACCCAGGGCCTCGCGCATGCCGGGCAAGCACTCTACTTCTGAGCCACATCCTCAGCCTTCTTTTGTATTTTATTAGAGACAGGGTCTCACTGAGTTGCTTAGCACCTTGCTAAATTGCTGAGGCTGGCTTTGAACTCGCAATCCTCTTGCCTCAGCCTCCCGAGCCACTGGGATTACAGGCATGCGCCATGGCGCCCGATGGGAGAGTATGGTTTTAAGCACCTTGAACTCTCTAAATGCTACCAACTTGCTGAGCCTCAGTCCCTCCCCTTTGCCATACATGAGGGTATTGGACTAACTGTACCTGAGGTCCTGTGGCCTGACAGCCTGTGGTGATCTGTGCCAAGTGACCCAATTCCTTCCCTTCCATCCTTTGTGAGACCAGGGTCTCCAGAACCCTTGAGGTGGGAAGGGGCAGAGAAGAGATTCCGCAGGGCCAGAAAGAGTCTCCTTGAGGGACTTGAGAGTGGAAATAGGTTTGCCAGCTTCCAAGAGGAGTGGGGGCAGGGGCAGGTGGTATCCTGTTAGAACCATTTCTAATTAACCAAGCTCTGTACTAACCAACTTACACATACCATTTCATTTCATTCCTTTTTGTTCATTCGTCTGTGGTTCTTGGGATTGAATCTGATGCATTGTGCATGCTGGACAAGCACTCTGACATTGAGCCACATCCCCAGCCGCCTTTTTTTTTTTTTTTTTTGAGACAGGGCCTCACTAGGTTGCTGAGGCTGGCCTTGAACTTGTGATCCTCCTGCCTCAGCCTCCCAACCTGCTGGGATGACAGGGGCACATCACTACACTTGGCTCATTTAATTCTTAGGGCAACTTTTTTTTTTTTTTTTTTGTACTGGGGATTGAACCCAGGGGCACTTAACCACTGAGCCACATCCCCAGCCCTTTTAAATATTTTATTTAGAGATGGGTCTCACTGATTTGCTTAGGGCCTTGCTAAATTGCTGAGGCTGCCATCGAACTTGTGATCTTCCTGCCTCCGCCTCCCCAGCTGCTGGGATTACAGGTGTGCGCCATTGCACCCTGCTATGGTGACCTTTTGAGTAAGTATTAAGCCCATTTTACAGATAAATTAATGTTCAGGATGCTTAAAGCTATACTATAGAGTCTAGATGAGACTCAAATTCAGGGCTCATATTCTTTCCATCCAACTAACAGAGGGTGAAGGGCATAACTAAGACTATTCTTTTACTTAGAGTCTGGGCCTTTTCTGAATCCTGCTGGCACCATCCCCTGGCTAATGACACTTTCAGAGAGGCAGCCCCTTCTAGGAGTTTCCATTCATTTTTAATGGCCCAGCAGCTGTGGCCTCCCACACCCCATCGACTAGCCCAGGACTTTCTCTGCAACCAAGCGCTCTCACCATGTTGGCGCCTGTCAATGTTTAATGGCAGCAAAGGATCTTATCTCAGTTACCCAAGTCGTTTAGATTACTCCTGCTCAAGGACCTGGCGTGTGGTGTGGGGGAGGTGGCAGATGGCAGTCTCAACATCACCCCTCCGCTCTGCAGAGGGAGGAGGGGTTATTGGAGTGGAAAGGGTGGCAGGAGAGAGACGCTCTAAGGGACAGAAAGCCTGATTGCTCATTTGCATGGCTCTGGTCACACTTGGCTCCCACAGGGAGCACTCCTGGGTGCCCACTGCATCCCCGGTCAGCGTCCTCCTGGGAGACCCCAAACACATCTAGTGAGTGGATGGCTTTCTGTAGGCCTAAACATAGATGTCCTTTGCTTCCACTCTGATGTCCCCGGAGCATCTGAATCTCTGCTTATTTTCCTGGGGGAACAGCATTCTTTGTTGCTCTTATAAACTGTTGAAAACAAGGACCTTGAGTGTTCCAGGGACAAAAACAGGTTGCAAAGAACACTCGAACCATACCTTTGGCCCAATCCTGCCATGGACCTGTAAGCTGGGGGGTCCCCACACTCTGGGTCCCAGCTCTAGAGTACTCAGGGGGAGGGACAGATTCTTGCTGCTCTCCCAGGGCCAGGGGAATGCCCGAGGCAGATGACCGAGTTCTATTTGGGGAGTAGAACGTCACTGTCCCAACCCAGCTGGGCGAGGCCACTCAGATGTTATTTACAGACTTTGCCTAATGACCCAGCCTCCAAGCTGTGACGGAGTCACGGCCTTCTTCAGTTTCTACTGCTCTTGGACTTTATCAGGTCCTGTCACAATGCCCCCCTCCTCTACCTTCGCTCTGTCCAGGTGCACTGTGTCCCCACAGCTGATGAGTCACTCACAGCTGGGAGTCTGGATAAAAGTGTTCTTAGAACAGAGGGAGGGGCTTGGGAGCAGAAGAGGGTACCTCACCTGTGCCAGAGGTCAGAGAGGTTGCCAGCCACGGGTTGGAGGACTGGGAATGGGAGGCAGGCAGGAAGGTGAGGGAGGACAGGAGGGAAAGAAGGCCAATCCTCTCACAGGACTTCTGTAGGTTGGGGAGGGGGGTACGGGTAAGGATGAATTCACAGTCAACTTCGCTCCTAGTTCAAATGGGAAGTCCGGTTGAATGTAACCAAAATGGCCAGCACATCAGACAATGTTCACAAAACCAGGGCCCTGGATTCCCGAGGTGGGTTTTGAAGGTTGAGAGTAGGAAAGCCTAAAGGATAATCCTGAGACCCTGTGAAACCCAAAGTATTGCTTTTTGGGGGAAATCAAGTCCCAGGAGGATGGCACTGATTTCCCTCCCAGGAAGGACCTGTGGGAACCTCAAGAAAACCAGACAAGCCAGGAGTAGTGGTGCACGCTGGAAATCCCTGCGGCCGAGGAGGCTGAGGCCGGAGGATCACAAGTTCGATGCCAGCCTCAGCAATTTAGTGAGGCTCTATGCAATTTAGCAAGACCCTGTCTCAAAAAATTAAATGGGCTGGGGATGTTGCTCCGTGGTAAAGGGCCCCTGGGTTTAATCCCTGGTCCCGGGGGGGGGGGGGAAAGAAGAAGAAAGAGGAGGAGGAGAAGGAGAAGAAGAAGAAGAAAACTGACAAAGGGCAGCTGCGGCCAGTGTTGCCATTGTTCTCTCCTGGGGTCCTGTCCCAGGGCTCCCTCTCCCTAGGGCATAGGTCCAGCGCCCATAGGTCCAGAGAAAAGGAGGTCCAGCAAAGCCACCACTGCAGGGGTTGGGTTGGGCTAAGAGGAGGGGAAAATAGAGTCTGAGGCAGAAGCAGGGTTTGGTTCTTCCTCCTGAGTCAGCTGTGACTGCCCAGGGCCAGAGAGCAGAGGCCTGCGCCCAGCCCAGAGCTTTGGGATGCTGCTCTTCCAGGATTTTACAGCAATCTGAGCTCTTTGTGGTCTCATGGCACTGAGCTCTTGTATAGAGGTGGGTTTGGAAGGTTCAGAGTGAGAAAGCCTAAAGGATAATCCTGAGACCAGTAAGCTAAACAGGAAAGATAATAATCGGTGGATACACACTAGGCACTCTAGGGGATCCTTTATGTCTTATTGGAAAATAAGAAGCGAGTGGCTGTCTTACAGGAGGAGTCTACAGGAGTTGCTAATAGACAAAATGTAGGTTGTGAGAGAAAATAATCGGTGGATACACACTAGGGACTCTAGGGAACCCTTTATGTCCAGTGTCGCAGAAATTTCACAATTATCTTCTAAGTGAGGTTCGATTGTTTTTTCCCACCTCACAGGGTAGGAAACGAACTCCTGGATCGGCTGAGCAGCTGGAACCTCTCACAGGTGGCAGGGGACCGGGCAGGCATTGCCCCAGGGCCTCAGGGAAGCCGGCCCCGGAGCCTGGCAGCTCCACCCTGGCAATCTCACGCCTCCTCTCAGTGCCCCACTGGGCGTCAGCTCGGCTTCAGGTGCTGACCTACGTGTTGGAAACGCGAAGAGGAGCGGGACACGGTCCTCCACCCTGAAGAACTCATGATTTGGAGGACACAGATGTGACTAGGGACAAGTGAGATAAGCGGGCGAAGTCCTCAGTATTCAGGGGCACTGGATCCTGTGCCAACCCGGCAGGTGAGAAAAGACACCTGTGGGGGGTCACCTGTGGGCAGCGTCTCAGAGACGGGACGGCTTTGCCGAAGAAGCGGGGCGGGGATCGCGCTCCTGGCAGGTGGGCTGTGCGAGCCCTGGCGCGAGGTGTAGAGGGCTCGGCCTGGTTGGAGCCAAGGCCAGGACCGTGTTTTGGTTTGGGAGGAGTGTGGGGAAGTCTGGGGGTGACACATGAAATGGAGAAATGAGCAGGGTGGTTCAGAATGCCTGGAAAGATCACCCAGAGGCCAGGGACACCACTGTAGGTTCCCAAAGGGCAGCGGAGCCATCGGGTTTGGGTTTTCCAAAGATCTCTTCTTGCACGCACTTCTGCTTTTTTCGGGATGACGCTGCCTGGGAAATCTGGTACGAAGAGAGAGGCGGTAAATGTTTCCAGGAAATAAAAAGTCCTCTGCTGCGCATGCGTGTCTCTTGTTGTGTCCGGCTATAAATAGACACAGCGCTGGGCCAGAGTCTCCCCCAGCGCCCGAGGGCAACTTGCTCACACTCGGAGCTGCCTCTGCCCCTCCTCTCCTCCTCCTGGCCAGGCTCAGCCCCAGCAGCCCTTTCATCACCCAGCAGGCAGGGCCCAGGGTTGGCACCAGGACTGTCTGCTCTGCCGTAGCAGATTCCCCTTAGCACACAAAGCCAGCGCAACACTGCAGCCGGAAGGGTGCGCCTTTGGCCAAAGGGGAAACGTGGTGGCTGAACCCAAGCTGAGCGTGAACTGACCCCTCCGTGGGGTGGGAAGGGGAAGTTGGCTTGAAGATGTGACTCACAGCCAGTGGTTCATAGACCATCCCGATCAGAAGCAGCGAATAGATGAGATGATAACTCTTGTCCCCTCCAACTCCGGGATCCTTCGGGACAGATCAGTGGAAGGAGAGAGACAAAAGAATAGAAAACACACACATGTGCACGTGTGTCCATACACATGGGCCCGCTTGGCTCAACGAGTGGGTCACCACACTGATCCAAGGGTCACAACAGACCTGGTCCCAATGTCTTCAGGAAGCTCTCCCAGGTCCCTGCTTGTGAAGCGGCTCTTGCCCACCATGGGCTCCTGCAGTAGTTCACTTACAAAGTCTCGTCATGGACACACCACAGCTATGTGGACAAATCTGTGAATTTGACTCTTTTGGAACCCTGCCTGGCTGTCAGGATTACAGTTATCATTTATGAATCCCTCCAGGTGTTGGGCAAGGCTTCAGACACTCCACAAGTTTCATCTATAATTCTCTCTTGCTGGGTGTGTGCTGTATGCCTATAGTCCCAGCTACTCAGGAGGGAGGCTGAGTCAGGAGCTTTGCCTGTGCCCAGAAGTTTTGAGTCCAGCCTCAACAGAGTGAGACCTCACCACCACCTTAACAAACAAAATTGGTTCAACTGTAACCCTCTCTAGACTCCCATGGGTGTGTGCCCCAGTTGATAGGTGAAGAAGGTAGTTCCACAAGGGTAAGAAATGCCCCAGGATCACATATAGTAGCTCATGATCCCAGGTCCCCTGGATTTGGAAGTCTGTCTTCTTGGAGGGCGTGTGGTTGAGGCACACCGTGTCTTCAAATCTACTCAAAGAATGGCTCCACCATGTTGCAGTCTCTCCTCCTCCTTCCCCTTGACATGACAGTGATACTAAAATTGTAGCCCAATGAGTTGTCTGGGCACTTAACTGTGCAGAGACAATGCAATAAGGGCCAGGGAACAGCAAGGGCTAGTTGCCAAGGCTGGCCTCAAATTTGCAGTCCTCTTATCTCAGCCTCCGGTCACTGGGTTTACAGACCTGCATCATTGTGCCCCACATGGCAGGGACCTATGAGGGGACCTGGCACTGACTGGGGCAAGGAAAGCCTACTTATAGTGGGTGGTCACTGTAAAATGGTCACCTGTAGGGACAGGGAAGTCGCCCAGCTGCCTGTAACTGGTAAGAGCTGCTACTAGATTTTGTATCTGCCCCCACCTGGTTGTGATATCTGGGCACCTGCATCGTCTCTTGCGTCTCCCTGTGGCTCTCAGGTCATTCTATGATTTATTTCCGATAAAGAAGCTGGCACTTGAGGGTTGCCAGAGACTTGGTTTGGGAACCAGGAGAGGTAAGAGTCAAGCCAGGTGGGCTCCTAAGCTGCCCTTTCCCTGGTGTTTCTTGCACATTGCATGCCTCTGGGCCCCGTATGACAGGTTGAGCAATCCTTTGGGGGAAAGCTGGCTCCTTTCCTCTGGCTCTGCGTTGCCAGGACTCACAGGAGGGAATGGGTGGCTTGAGCAGATCCTGGCACTACAGCTGTGGTGAGCGCAGCGGGGCGAAGCCCTGGGTTCAGTCCTGCAAGAGAAAAAAGAAGGAGACAATCCCAACGCCAGCCTTCTGGACAGAACTGCACTCCCTCTAAAGGATCACAGTGGCATTGTCTGCCCGCCTATCTCCTGTGTGTTTGGGTAGGGTAAGCTCTGCCTCCAGATGTTAACCAACTTGGGTGACCTGAGCTAAAATAAACAAAAACAAGCTCTCGACCTGTCAAACCAAGACGGGCCCTGTTGTGTTTACCAGGGTTTGCCCAAGGGAGTTGGGGCAGGAGAAGGGGCAGAGGCTACCTAAAAGACCAGTTGAGGTTGGAACTGGGGAAGTAGAATCTCAAGTCCTGGCTGTGTGTCCTGGGGTAAGTTACTAACTTCTGTGACTTTCCTTTTCTGATTTACCTCACAGAATAAAAATCTGTTAAATAGTTTGGCAAGGTGTAAAGTGCTGTAGTCTGCCCTGAGTCGTCACACCGCTTCTCTGTGTGCCTGCCTGGTCCCCTGGTCCCTCAAGAACAGGAATCATAGTGGGGCCTCCTGTGGTCTCATTGGACAACTCCTCTGGTTCCTTACGACTCGGGGTGACCATGGCCTCTTCCAGGCTCTTAGAGGCCTTTGCAGCCACCACCCCCTTCTTCAGGATGCTTCTTCAGGGCTAGTTCCTCTGTGGTCGTTCTTTGGCCTCCTGCTCTGTAAGCTCCTTGCCTGTGCCCCCAAGTTGGAAAGGAAGATCCTGTGGGGGGCCCCTCAGTAATTGTTTACGAAATGGGGTTTCTAAGCCAGCTGCTGGGAAAGTCCTCTGCTGGCCAAATCTGCTTCACAGTTTGTGTCCTCTTCTTTGCCCCGTAGGACCACAGGCCATGGGCCAACCATTTGCTGGAATGGTCCTTCCCCATGAAGGGCACACAGGGCAACTCCTACAGGCAGAGTCCAAAGGAGGTGCATCCGCAGCACCAGTAGCACTGTTTCCAGGCCTAGGGACCATCTGCCTGGACACTGCATGGAGCCCAGGATGTGGGCTGGCCAAAGTCCTACCCCAGCTGGGCACAAGCCCAGAGTTACACAGGAACAGTCACACAGTCACTGTGCACATGCACCGCCAGCCCTGCACGCACCCAGAGGAAGTCAGACGATGAGAAATGGTGACTGGCTTTAAATAAACATAGCCAGCTATTTCAGATCGCAGGAGATTGGGGGCCTTTTCTGGGCTGAGACACACCTTGCCTGGAGCAATACCTGTTAAGACAGGACACTCCCAGCTCCCAACCAGGGCAGCTCAGACTCCAAAATGGGGGTCTGGCTCCCCCTGCTGGTGTACTTGGGAACACACCAGCGTGCCAAACATCAAACTGGATTCTACAGGGACACAGAGAGGAAAACAGACATTTGGTGCTCTCCCTCTCTTTCTATTTCAGAGAATCATAGTGATTTACCTTTGTTCATCTTCATGAAGGCAGGACTCACCTCCCTGTCGTACAGAAGTAAAGATGAGGTTCAGAGTTCAAGCAAGTCTTGCAGATCCCACAGCAAGGTGGGGAGTCTGTCTCCTTCACCTGAGGACCCAAGAGGAAGCAGGAGTACCCACTGACATCACTGGTCTCCCAGACCCCAGCCAGATATCTCATCTGGGACTTTCCTTCTCTATCAGCTAGCACCTTTCCTTTGTCATGTCCTCTCTGGCCAAGAGTGAATACCAGATCCATTCTGTATTCTGAGCCCACTTAGTGAGCACCTGGGCCGGGCTAGAGGGGTCGCCCATGTTTAGCAGATAGTCAGAGATGCACAGAGAAACAGTTGCAAGATAGGCACCATCCCTGGGGAATAAGGGCTTACTGGGCTGGGGGTCCTGTTGTAGAACTTGGGTCTAGAACAGGGCCTTGAAAATGTCCCATTGGGCTGGGGATGTGGTTCAAGCAGTAGCGCGCTCGCCTGGCGTGCGTGCTGCCCGGGTTCGATCACATACAAACAAAGATCTTGTGTCCGCTGAAAACTAAAAAATAAATATTAAAAAATTCTCTCTCTCTCTCTCTCTCTCTCTCTTTAAAAAAAAAAAAAGAAAAGAAAAAGAAAAAAGAAACTGTCCCATTGGGACCACTCCTGGGAGGAAATGTCCAGATAAGTCACACCCCTGCCTTCAAGCAGGGGGCAGAGTTTCTAGGAAGAGATGAAGTGGCCCCGGGGTGAAAGTTGGAGGCTCCCTCTGCAGCAGAGGCCAGCCAGGGAGGGAGGACCATCTAGGCTTGGGTGCACTTCTCCTCATCAGGAGCCTCCTATGTTATCCTTCCCTCTGCTCTCAGAACCTCCTGGGTTAAAGGAGCCACTAGCTTGTCTTGCTGGGTGAGGCCTCTTTCTTCCCTCTGGAGAATAAGCAGGTTGAGAAGGTGTCTGTGACTAGCTTGATCTGATGATTCTCCTGGACACGCCTTGGTTAAGAGGCCTTTAAAATAAAGCTTTAGGTGGTGAGCCTTAGGGACCAGGTCTTAATGCAGGTTATAATATAGCCCTTCCCCCCCCCCCCCCCCCCAGGGATTTGGGTCTTCCCTGTGCCTATCTGGTCTTGGATTTCTGCAAGATGAGGAGTGTACAGGCAGGTCCCATGTTATGAGTGACATCGGCTCTCCAGCCTCTAAGTACCTTCCTAGCCTGGCTTCATGGTAACTGCTGGAGGTGGGGACCTGTAGTCCCCAAGGCTCATCTCCTCACCTAGAATAGGGCTTTCTTCTAGGGACCATGAGTCCCTGATTCTCTCAGGTAGCCAAGATCCCTTAGCTGGCTTCCTTTACTGGGTGAGGGTCAGTACCTTAAGCAGGGAAACACCTGCCTACCTCAACGCAGTGATTACAGGACAAACTGGGAGCCAGGTGGACCAGGCACTAAATCCCAGTTCAACCAGTTCCTCCCTGTGTAACCTTGAGCAACCTGCTTAACCTTCCTGACCCTCTGTTTCCAAATCTGTCAGGACAAGAGTTCCCACGGCCTGAGGTTGTACAGGAATGAAATGAGATTTTTCAGTGACTAAAGGGATACGATCACTGTGCCCAGGACAGGTGAAACTAGAGATTAAGTGTGGTATATTTTGATGGAGTGTTAATTTTACTAGGAAAAAGAAATGGGGACATGTCTTTTGAGCTAA